AGCTGAGATGTTATTTTTCGCAATAAATTTTTTTACAGTTTGGGGAGACAGGAAACTTATAGATGCATATTAGCATGAAATCGAAAGATCTTAAATTGTTTGACAATTTAATTAGTTACAAGTTTCGGGCTTCATGAAAGAGAGCTATGTTCAAGCTGACAAACTGTGCGGCAGATCGTGTGTGATTGGATATTGTAACAATAAGAATTTCATACACCAATACCCGTTTCGGCTCTCATAGGCAATTATTTCACTATATTTGATACAAATTATTTATTTTTTTTACATTATATCTATATACATTTCTATTTAATGTATTTATTTATTTTTTATATCTACTATTCGATATACGAATGCAATGTAATATGATAATAATACTTGTATGGAAATTGCCATTTTAATTCACATGAATTTATCTTTTAAATAACAAAACTTAAATAATAAAGTTAAAAAATAAAATAAGTTAAAATAACATAAAATAAAAAAGGCTCCAAAATTGACAAAATAACAATAAAAATGTGGGCTATGAGCTACAGCTGGTTATTTAATGCTCTAATATTATAAGTTAGTATATTATAATAATATAAAAACACACGTTTCGACCTACATCAGATCATTTTCAATGTTAAAAAATAAAATTAAAACAAAAAAAAGAATTTTTTTAAACATAAAACGGTGAAAATAAAGATATATTTATTATTAAAACTTTATTCGCAAAATAAAATATCGTAAAAATACCAAAATCGAAAATTCAAATGCAAATCCTCAAATTATCACAGTGGACAGTCGTCGAGAAGTATAAGACAGAAACATATGATCCTTTCAGATTTGAAGCAGAGACATACTTACCATTTGACTTTCATAGCTTAAGTCTTGACTTTCTTTGACTTGGCTTTAAGACTTGGTTTTGACTTTTGATACATAACGCAAAACTGTCACTGTCTTTTATACTGTTAATTATTCTATATTGTGAACGATTTACGAACTTCTGAATTCAGCTACTGAAGCTTCCATAATGTTACTGACTTTTACAATGACAATTTTTAACCTTGTCTCTGCTTAAAATCTGGGAGAAACGTTTCTGTTTTATACTTCTCGACGACTGTCCACTGCAATAATTTGATGATTTGCGTTTAAATTTGCGATTTAGGTATTGTTACGACATATTAATTTGCGAACAGAATTTTAATAATGGACATATAATTATTTTTACCGTTTTATGTTTAAAAACTTATTTTTTCTTGTTTTAATTTTATCGTTTAACTTTGAGAATGATTTGATGTAGGTCGAAACGTCTGTTTGTATTTTATTATGTTAATGTACTAACTCATTATATTAGAGCATTAAATAGCTTAGGCTTATAGTTCACATTTTAATTATTAAGTTAAAATAAGTTTTAAAAATCAGTTTAAATAATAAAACAAGATACATTTTATTATTAATATAATAGCAGTAGTTTTATATACATAGTGTGTAATCTGAGCAATTACATACATTTCCGGTATTTTTTATTGCATAAGTGACTCAAGTGAGATATGAAGTAACATATAAATACTCTTTGGTCGAAGTCGAAGAATTAATCAGTTGCGATTTGTCGTACG